GGAATCAGTGTTTTCCTTCTTTCCAGCTCTTACACACTCAGCTTACATGGTGAGAGATGCTCTGAGAGGTGGGTTTCTGCATAAGAGGCCTTGTGACATGGTCTTCACAGATCCCCAAATAATGCTTTAGAGACCCTGGGGCCTGATCCTGCCTTCACAGCCTCAGGCTGAGAGAACCAGAGAACCCCTTCTCGCTGTACCTCCTCATCTTGTTCTCTGATCTTGCTCCTCTCACCCAGCTTTCGTCATCTTTTCTCCCACTCCCCCCAAGATTAATGTGATAATTGCCATGTGTGCCTGTTTACACCGGGAGTGGGTGAGCTCACCACCCTCACTCAGGCAGGTTCCCAAAGAAACGTGTTCCCACGATGTCAGGACTGGTACCCGCTGAGCACTCCGGTGCAGGTGGGCTGCCACCCCCAGCCTGCTTTCTCTGTCTGTCATCTCCTTGCCTTGTGCACGTGTGCACATGTGTGCCACTCAGGGAAGCAACAGGTGAGAAGGAGGAGAACAGCCAGACTGCCAGTCTAGGGGAAGGTGTTAGAGATGGGAGGGCCGTTAGCACCCTGAATAAGAAGACACTAACTCAAGGAGAGCACTTCTCTGCACTGCCTGACTCATGGTGGGTATTACTAGTCAGGGTGTGACAGAGAGACAGAGCCAGTAGGACATAGAAGAGGGGAGTTATTAAGGGAACTGAGACACGTGTTCAGAGAGGCTGGCAAGTATCAGCAGACTGTCTGCAAGCTGGAGACCCAGAGAAGACAGTTATTTGACTCAGTCTAAATCCAGAGCCTCAGAGCTAGGGGAGCTGATGGCACAATCGCTGGCCCAAATCCCAAGAGTACTCTGTTAGGCCACCTGTTCAAGTCCCAGATTTCAAGTTCAGTTCACACCTGGTATTCTGATAGCCAAAGGCAGAAGAAGAACAGTGTCCTACACGGGGTGGTGGTCAGGAGGACAGTGTGAGAAGACAGAAGGATACAAAAGTCTCCCCATTTCCTTTCTTTGTCATCCCAGGCCCCATCCAACAGGAAGGGATTTGAAGGCATGTCTTCCCCACTAGGTCCCAACCACAGGCCCATCTTTTCTGGAAACACAGATACGACCACAGTGTGTGCTTACCAGCTGCTAGGCACCCATCCATACAAAGTGGGCACCCAGAGCTAGTGGTGGCAGCGGGTGTTCAGTGGACGGGAAAGAAGGAAAGGGCTGCCGCACCCTGCACAGCTTCCTTGGCTGGGAGGGACCAAGGCTACATTTTGCTGCTGCAAGGCAGAAGTGGCTGCTAGTTGGCCCCTCTCTTGGGGCTGGAATCAGCAGAGCATGTTTTGGAGGTTGGATGCTCCTGCCCCAGGATCTTACTGGGGAGAGCAGTGTGCCATCCAATGTGGACACAGCTCGTGAGCCTTGTGACACCGTCATGGACTCAGTGGAGGAACCCAAGTGCCCTCCCCACTTGGTGTGAGACAGACACCAGGGAAAACAGCCACAACTTGGAGGCTGTCCTGGCAGTGTTCTTCAGATTTCTATTTTTCATGGTGTTGGGATGCTTGCTGCACTCAGTGTAGTTGATTGCTTCTTTTTTCATTTCAAAAGACAGATGTCACTCCTACCCTGGACAGTTTTAAGGTTTTAATAATGATGAATCAGAAGGGAACGGAGCCTTTAATTAGCCTCAGGAAGGACCTTGACATTCAAATGAGAGAAGCCTGAAGTCCTTTGTTTGCCCACTTTCTGCCCAGCGATGTCCCCTTGTGCTGGTGGAGGCAGAACATCAGAGGAGGGGAGAGGAAGCCACCTGGCTCATTAGGAAAGGAGCAGAAGAGCTGAACAGAAAGTGGAGGGAGGGTGCTAGGTGTGCCAAGGGTGCGGCAAGTCTATTAAAAGGCTGGTGAGTAATCGCAGGGCCTGTGAAGCTGCGTTCTCCAGAGGAACCTTTTAAGCTGTCAGTTTTAGCAACCCCTAGCGTGTGGCACTGCTCAAGCTGGTGTCTTCTTGCCTTTTTTTTTTTCTTTTTCTTTTTTTCTTCCTCTTTCTCCTCTTTTTTCATCTAGGTAGACCTTGTGGTGCAGTGGATGAAATTTGTAGCAATTTAGAGGAACTTTCACACATGGAGAGGGTCCATTAGAATGCATTTGTACTGACTTATTATTATTTTTTATTTTTATTTATTTATTTTTTTGTACTGACTTATTATTAACAAGAGAAACATCTTATTTAGAATATAGACATTTATTGATTAGTTAGGCATCTCTCCATGCCAAATCCATTGTCAGATGCTATATATACAATATGTGAAAGGAGACAGTTAAGATTTCTGCCTTAATACAGGCTAAAACAAACACAAAATATTCCCATAAAACAGGGACTAAAAAGGACTGTTCAGATTGGTATTTATAGAGGAGTTAGGAAACACACCCCAGGCTTCAAGTCAATGAAGGGAACCCTTTTATCTCTGTTTCATAGACTGCATTCCCTAGGGTTTTAATGGATTTTCTTTGAAAAAAAAAAAAGATTCCACAATCAGGAAATTTAAGAAATGATGTAAGCAAAGTACATGCTCCTTCCTCACACACACACATGGGTCTTCTTAAAGGGATATAAATGAAGGACCATTTTGTATCTGTATATACAAAATAGTTAGGATAGATATACAGCTACTTTCTCTTAATTCAATGAGAAGAAAGATTTGTACTAATAGTATTTGGGCAGGATATCATGTCTGCATCTTGTGCTATGAATAACCACTATGAAGACAACTATATGCCATGTATTAATTATTGAAACTGTCCTACTAATCAGTTTTGAAACTGTCTCATTGCTATTTGTTTCTCAAAATTAATTTAAAAAACAGGCTTAAGAACTACATGTAATTTGCTATATTTCCCATGTTCTTCCAGTTGCTTAAGCCCATTTTCCAAAAAAACATGTGCACGTATTACAGATCATAGCAAAGAAGAGAACATGATTCTGGACATAATCACTTTTCAGGAACCTTTGCAAATAATCATCCTTGTGATGTGGCTCTGTGCTATCCTCAAACCATAATGGTTCAGTTCCTTGTGATACCTTTCATATGCTTCATTGCCACTGTTGATATGACTTCAAGTTTATAGGCAGCTGAGTCTCAGGCTAGTGCAAGATATGGACTCAGCCTTTGTACCAAGAATGCTAAGAGGATTGATCAGGCCAGAAAACTGATGACACCTGTTAATGTGGAACCCACCAGAAAATTCCTGGAGCTGACTCATCTTTACAGAATTCTTGATTTATTGTTATGAATAAAGATCAAACTAGTTGCATAGGGATCATTGAATTTGCCTTTATGCTCATAGCCCTTGTCTCCGCTATTAGGAAAAGCAGCTGCCCATGTTCATCATAGCCCCTTTTGGCTCTTGGTGCCCAATTCTTCCATGTCTTTCCTCTGATAGTCAAGAATTACTGTCTTTGAAGTCTTTCTCATGTCTTCCAAGCTCACATTTAACTGTCCAGTTTTGATAAAACCAAAGAGCTGGATCATAGACACTGAAATTGGTAGAACTCTGCCTTTGTCCCAGAGAGTGTTTTGTTTTTAATTTTGAATCTGCTTCATTTGTAATACTGTATCTCTGAAGAATGCAGGGGCAGGACAAAAGGAACAAGTTCACTGAAAAGAGCTTGCACTATAAGATATTCTTCATGGAAAACTCCACAGTACAATGATAGCTGTCATGATCAATGGATGGCTGAGTTCTGTGGCCTAACATATTTGAATGGGAGGCAGAGAGAAAATGAGATAATTGATGGGGGGAGGTGCCATTTAGGTCCATAGGAAGCATGAGGACAATGAATCAAACTATTTTTTTCAAAGCTTAGTAATAAGTACAAGAAAAGATATCAACTCAAGGGATAGCACCTTACCATAAAAATTCTGAGTTCTGGTCTTAACTTTACTAAGTTAGTTAGCATATGAGTTAGGTATGATGTCTGATCTTCATGGCCTCAACTCCCTAATGAATTGGGGATAAAATACTTGTAGTGAGCTTCAACTGAGTATCCAAGTTTGTGTGTGAGGGGATAGGGTGACTTCAGTTCAGGAAAACCATCTGAAGAGATGTAAGGAGAAAGAGTCAAGGCAGAGCTTGAGAAGAACTCTTAGGTGAGAAGCAGGCACATTAGTACTTTCAGCACACTCACATGCTCTGTGTTGAGGATCTAAGAAGACATCCTGCCAAGGGTAGCTGCTTTTGGCAAGCTGTATAGTGTCATCCTCCCTCTATCTCCAATCCTTAAAGGGCATTGCATCCATTTTTAGGTACCAAAATCCAGAATATAGTTTCTGACCTGTATTCAGTGTAGTGTGTGTGT